GCGAGAGATAAAGACTCATTCGGACAGGCGCAAACAAGAGGGTCGATCGGGATAGAACGGGATTCATAGGGAAAAGTTAAATTCATTATGCTTTGATTCTCTTTCTGTTTTCAAGATTCCTTTTCTCATGGCACCCATCGATTATCCTTCAAAAATAGCAAGCAAGTTCACCCAACTCACTGACGAAAGGAAAAAAAATGTAAGGAGGCGAAACTTTCTTTCATTTTGTCAAATAGCATTTTGTCCCACTTTCATACATAGTCTTTTTACTCACCTTCACACCACGCAGACAACACGATCAAAAGAAGACAAGCCAAGTCCCACTACTCACGTCACTCATGCACGACGCCCACAACCCCACTCAACCTTTTTTCCTGAACATTCAAAGCGAAAGAGTCAAGCAATGTGTGGGTGCACACAGGTGTGAAGGGAGTCTGAGTCGTCCAGTGACTGACCTTGAGTAAAGTGGTGTCGAACGCGCTGTGGCTCACTCAAGAAAGTCAAGTAACATATACCCGTCGCCGAAGAAATCGCAGTCCCGAGGTAAGTCTTGGACCAACTACTTGTCTCAATCTATTCCCGATTCACAAGTTTCACTCGCGGCAATTCCAAGTGCTAAGATGGCGAGCCACACTCGTCCCAAAAAAAATCCACTGCGTCCTGCATCGATCCCAACTGATCCCAAGTGGTCCCTCACTACCGCTTGTAGCATCGAATGATCCCAAATGCCGGAACTGCTCTCACCACACTCTCCAAAAAAATAATAACACTACCTGGTGTCAAAACCGCAAGTGCCACGTGCTCCCAATGGTCAATGCGCCGCCCACTCACGTCCCACCGTCGTGCCGCAATTCCATTGCCGTGCCGAATCCTCGTAAAAAAAAACGGCAGCGCTTCGCCGTGTCGTACCGCCGTAAAAGAAAAACAAAACGGCAGCGCTTCGTCGTGCCGTACCACCGTAAAAAAGACGGCAGTGCTTCACCGTGCCGTACCACCGTAAAAGACGGCGGCGCTTCACCGTGCCGTACCACCGTAAAAAAAACGATAGCACTTCGTCGTGCCGTACCACCGTAAAAAAAACGGCAGCGCTTCGTCGTGCTGTACCACTGCAAAAAAAAATGGTAGCGCTTCGCCGTGCCGTACCACCGCAAAAAGACGGCGGCGCTTCACTGTGGCATACCACCGTAAAAAGATGGCGGGGCTTCGCCGTGCCGTACCACTGCAAAAAGACGGCCGCGCTCCGCCGTGCCGTACTACCGTGCCGTGAAAATGGCAGCGCCACTCTTCAAAATAAAGTGTCGCCGACGTGCCATGAAAACGGCAGCGTCACCCCTCAAAATTAAGGTGTCGCACCGACGCTGCGATATTTCGGCAGCATAAACCCACAAAAATGGGTTATGGTTGCCGAAAATATCGGCCGACACACCTCCACCAGTTGTCGTGCTCCCCGTCGCTCCTTGCCACGCTCTGCTGCCGCTCCTCACCACGCTGTCGCAGAGTCCCCCTTGAGACTAGCCTGCCAAGGGGTGAAGCAGAGTGCTCCAGCCAAGGCTATGGCTATCTCCTCCTTCTTCGCGCTCCTCCACAGTCCTTCAGCTCCGCCGACAACACTCCTGCCCCCTCTCCAACACTCCAGCGATGAGGCAAGTGTGCTGTCGCACACTGGCAGCTGGAGGCAAGTGTGAGGCAGCTGGGGGACAACTGCCTCTTTTGTAGTGGCTGAGGAGGGCAGTAGCAGCCTCAGCTTCCCCCAGGCAAAATTCGTCACTTGCCTGGGGCCGTTGATCTGAGCCAGATCAACGGACTGAGGCCGTCTCACCTCAGTCACACACTTAGGGTGGCAGTTGTACTCAACTGCCCCCTCTTTTTTTCCCTTTTCCCTGCACTCAGCCCCGCACTGAGTGCAGGTTCAGCGGGAAAATAGTTGTTTCCAACCAAGTTTCCCTCACCACCTCTTCAACTCCCTGGCCTGAGTCACATTCAGGCCAGTTTGGCCTGTATCTTATCGTGGCCGTGACTTTTTCTTTTTCCTTTTTTCTCCTTCTACCTTCTTTTTCTCTTTTCTCCCATGCCCTCCCCTGAAAACGGGGATGGCAGTTGTCAGATTGGGAGAGGTAGGGAAACAACTCGTGAAAATTCACGAGTTGAAATCCCGACAGGCTCAGAGCGGGGTGCAAAAAGTACCCCGACTTTGATGATTTTTAGAAAACTATTCGCCTAATAAAAAAATCTAAAACAATTTATGCACATGGCTTAGGTGCCTGGTTACCTACAGAAAAAAAATCAAGCTCGACAAAATTGTTTTATGCCACCAAAACAATATTGGCGCAAACCAAAAAATACAGATTTTCAAAAAAAGTCTGATCCCGTTTCTCGTTGTTGTTGTTTTTTTTTTTTTTTTTTTTTTTTTTTTTTTTTTTTTTTTTTTTTTTTCCCCCCCCTGACAACGGGAGGCAGCTGGCAGGTCGGGAAGAGTAGGTCCTCCTCTCTCTCATCCTCCCATTTCTTTCTTTCTCCCTCTCCACTCAACTCCCACAGTTTCTCCGCGTGTGCACTGTGGGCCGCGAGATCTCAAGATCTCGTGGCCACCGTCATCTATCCAAAACGAAGTGGGAACCTTTGTGCTACGACACAGTCTGAAAAAACTATTTTTTTTTTTTTGTTTTTTTTTTTTTACAGTCCTTAGGTTGATCGTTCCAACCCCTCCCCGTTTTCCCTGTTGGTTGTGCCTCAACGATTACGAACGGGGAGGGGGAACGAAGTAACTCCCAAAAAGAAACAAAAGAAGAAGAAAAACAAATTCAAAAAAAGAAAACCACAACTTACCTAAAAACGACTTGGCGCCTTAAAAACAGGTGCCCGTTTCCTCCTTCCCAGGGACTGCAAATCCCTCTCTTTCTACGAGCGCCACTTGGCGCTTTAGCTGTATATATATACTTTTTTACTCCGTTGGCTTATGGCAACGGTCCCTCGTAGCATAGAGCCCCTCCGCCTTGCTCCTAAGCTACAGATCCAAGTTCGAGTCTCGAAGGACTCAAAAAAAAAAAAAAAAAAAAAAATTGGACCATTTCTCGATTTACGCGTGTTGTCCTTGCGGAGGGGCCTTGTTAATCTGCGCGCGACTGTTTTCAGCCGCGCGATCTCATCGATCGGACGACCGAGAACGGTCGCGCAAAAAGGTTGGGTTGCTCCAAAAGGAGCTAGTCCAATGGTGATGTCATCAAGGCTTGATCCCGATATCTACTGGGCAAGAATCTGGTATGATATCCTACTGGGCTAGCTCCTATTCCACATTGAAATACGAGCAGCTCTTCCTTATGAAGAGCCTGGTCCAGCGTGGTATCGCCTTATGGCCTCACACAGGCTATGCCTGCGTACCTCAGCAACCCCAACCGCTCGCCAGTCGTGCAGTCGCCAACCCAGCGACCGTCTGGCAGTGTGGCACGCATGCCGTAGCCACATACATGGCGCGACCAACTATTTGGTCTACTGTGCTCCTGAATCGCGCGACCGCTACCTTTTAGGTAGGGTAAGTTTAGCTTTATCATCCCTATGACCGAGTACATCCCCGGCCTTGTAAGACATCACGGATGACAGGTCGTACCGCCGACTCTTGTTGTTTCGATCGGACGTCAATGACATCCTACGTCAACGACCTCAGGTTCTAAAAATTCAGGTCTCTCGGTCGTAGGGTTGGTCTGAATAAACTTTATGGCAACGTCAGTTTCATCAAGTACTTTAATCCAACGAAAGAGTTGGACAACGTCCGACGTTTAAAATCCCCGGCAAATACCCTTGTCAGGGTATTTGCCCCGACAGCATCCCGAGACCCCATTGAACGACGTCCCCATCGTTCACCCTATATTAACAAATAATATAGGCTTGTCTAAATTCTTATGGAACTCCTTTGTAAAAATAATAACAAAATTCTCCCAATCACAATTAGGTCGAAACTTATACCAAAATCCGAGTCATTCTTTTGGTAGTCTAAAAATATAATCACTCTTTATTGGAATGGTACCAGATATAATTTATGGTATGTATTTTTCAAGAACCCTAAGATTCATCCGTTGGGCTTTATCCAACCTGAAGACGCTACAATCAGAATAGTCCCGACAACATTCCACCGACGACTACTCAAAACTATTATCTCCCATGAATGGGTCCTACCGAGCGACGTTCCCATCGCTCTTCATCAAAATTTCAATAGAAACTTCATAAGACTTCAATAGGTACTTCGTATAATCAATCAAGTAACCGTCCGGAACTGAGCCGAAAATGTTTTACCAACACTCAATGAACGACATTCTCTGCCGTCCGCTATCCAAATAGAAATTAGGATTCTTACGAAATTCTCATGTAAAAGCAACAGTTACAATACACAACAATTCAACAAACATCCGAACTATGACCGAAATTCTCATATCAATATTCAATATTAAAACTGAATTTAACTTTCAAAAGTCTCGCAATTTATTCAACAGGATCATCCCCCTGTAGGTCTTGATACAACACCCAAAACAGTCACATCACATCATTCTGTTATGGGATTTTTACAGGTGTAACCCCCTGCGGGCCTTTCATTCTATCAATATGGGAATGACTTCCCAGTTGCTGATGGGAATGACCTTCCATTCCACTGATGGGAACGAGTCCCCAGTTGCTGATGCAAGTCACTTCCCAGTCTCCTGATGGGAGTCAGTCCTCAGTCTTTCACAAGCTTAACCCCCTGCGGACCTTTCATTCCATCAATATAGGAATGACTTCCCAGTTGCTGATGAGAATGATCTTCCAGCCCACTGATCGGAACGAGTCCCCAGTTGCTGATGGAAGCCACTCGATGGAAGTCACTCCCAGTCTGCTGATGGGAGCCGGTCCTCTTTCCGATAACCATTCCTCAACAATCGTCATAACAATCCATAATATTCATCATAAAATAAATGGGATCCATTCGGGACTAGGTCTTGATTGCGATTCAAACTTCTTCACATTCCATCCAAATTTCAGTGTTTCATTTATCAATTTGTCACATGTAGAATAGAACAACCTTACCTTCTACAACCAAGGTTGGCTAGACCCTGGTTATAGGGGTACGGTGACTATGCCTGACACGAGGAGAGGTAACCACTTATCCCCTCATAGCAACCATAGTTGTCTACCTACAAATCCACAATTTCTCAACAACTTACATTTAACCAAATACTCACAACATCAAAACAATTCACAACAAATGTTTTTACATGGAATTTCATAATGATCTATATCATATATTCTTCAATAATAAACAAAACAAATAGCTCTTCAATGGATAATAACATGGATAAAATGATATATCAATTAGATAAAATCTTTATCTTATCAAAGAAAAATACCAACTTTAACTTGACATTATCATTCTCACTCATAAAAATGTTTCGAGTTCATAGTGAACTCGACCATTGAAATCAGAATTTTAATAATTTATTTCTCCTTAACTCCCAATCTCTTGCATCTACTCGGAGTGTGCCTGATACTACCACATCTCTTACAGATAATATTCTGCCAATAAAATCTTCCTTTCCTTACTCGCTGGCCTCGTTGATTTCGAGACACTGACTCGCAATGTTCTGCTCTTTGAGGAGTTGACATCGAAGAATCATCCAAATGATCCCCCTCACTGTTCCTATCTCGCTCACATGGGTCCTCCAGAGGACGTTCTATTCTTGCCTTCTGATACTCGTGAGAAGAATCGTCATTTTTCTTTTCCAGTATTCATATGATTTCTGAAAGATTCGTCACAGGATTTGAATCTTTCTTTCGCTTGTCAACTCGACACTCTCTCTCAATTTTTTGTAAGCAAAATTGTTTCGAAGAGTCTGGTCAAATATTCGACTAAATTCTCGGTCAATAAAATTTGACCGAATTCTTTCCCAATTGAATTTACTGTTTTCTCCTTGGGTAAGCAAACACTGCTTCCCTTCGGAAAATTTCTCAAGAAAAGCAAGACACTTCTGTCTATCTGTCAACCCCTGAATTCGACGAGCCACCCGTTTAAATTCAGCCAGAATTTTTTCCTTTACTACATATGCATCTCGCTCAACATTTCTCAAATCTTCAATTGTTGTTACTGTATCACCTAACCAAATTCGTCTAACATAGCATCGTGAAAATGAGACCACGCTAATGAAGTCTCAATTATTCGCAGGACTATATCCACGAGATCTTTGTCAACATATCTAAGAACTCATCTCAACATCCGAGGCTTATCCCAATCATTAATAGATGTCAACTGTTCATTTTTTTTTCGATAAAAATGGAGATAAAATTACCATTGAAAAGATGAACGTTTACCTTAGGTAAACTTTCCCTTTCCATGGTTCTCTGTTCTATAAGTTGGGCTATTCCAGTCTCACCTTCATCCCGAGGATGATTTTTATTCTCTTCTTTTTTATCCTCCTCAGGCGGTTCCGGGTATTTGACAATCATTTGTTTTTCGAATTCCCTCTAGGTTCTAAAAGCCTACAATAAATATCCAACCTCGACCTTCAATTCTTCAATCACAAATCCCAAAACGAAAAAAAAATTGTAATTTTCTCCCCAAAGCATCAATGTTACGAGAGTCTGGAAGGCCTGTAAGAATTTAACAACCCCGCTGCCTTTAAAAAAAGGCATGTTGCCAAAGACTCCTCCCGTCATTTTAACGCCCTGCAAAAGGCATAAGCTCCATTAATGATTGACCAATCTGGTTGATTAATTAACAACCATCGAAATAATCTCAGATCTCAGCATTATGCCCAACCATCAAAATAACTTACTCGGGTGTCGTTCCATTGTAGACAACAATTCCACATATATGCAACAAACATTTAATCTTCTATCAATGGGCCTTACAATTTAAATTACTTGTAAACTAAGGTCACAATAACAGTTCTCACAACTAAAAGTCATTATCAAAACAACTTTAAAGTTACACTCCCTCTGCAAGTCCAAGATAAAAGCTAGTACCAGATGTACCACAATATAGAGTACAAGAAGACGTTAACCTTCTTCTCCTTATAGAGGTCAGAGTTACTCACATTTCTCTTAGCCGAGTAAAGAAAGTATAATTTTTACATCATCCATCCCCGAGTGTCGTTCCACCAGGGACAACGGTAGTTTGCCGTTATCCCCGACAACGATGCCACCTGTTGAGCGGAGGGGACCAATGAAATCCATCGAGATGGACTGCCAACGACCCTAAGGTATGGGTAGGGGCTGAAGTAACCCATACGGAAGGTGGTTCGCACTGTTCACCTCCTGACAGGTAGGACACTCCTGGATGTAGGCTTTGACAAAGTCCTTGGACTTCGGCCAGACGTATAGGCGGCAAACACGAGCCAACGTCTTGTGGAAACCCATATGACCGACAACTGCCTGGTCATGGAACTCTGCTACAGCCTGGATGCGGAGCTGTCCGGTGGAGGCAACGCAGATACGTGGTTCTAGCTGACCAGATCTGCCATGCCAGTACATGAGGTCGTTCTCCCCGAGGGAGTAGGAAATAACGGTCTTGCCACTCCGCAGTGTCGCGTGGATGACGCGATAATCGGGGCAGTGGCGGTACTGAGTGCGATACGCGTCGATCACCGACTGATCAACACTGGTGATGGAGATGGCAACAAGATGRATGGGTTCCTGATTGTGATCAGGACGGCGGGACAAGGCATCGACGACGCAGTTCGTTTCACCCTTGATGGGCTGAGTGGTGAAACTGAACTCGGATAAGTCACGCCACCAGCCTGTCGAGGGGAAAGCTTAGGCTTCGTGAGGAAAGCCTGGACGTGCGCACCGTGAAGGGCGCCCCGTGCAGATAATGACACCAATGCCGGGTAGCATAAACTACTGTGAGAACCTCACGTTCATCGACAGTGTAGTTTATCTCGGCACGCAGTAGCTGACGGGAGTAGAAAGCGATCGGGCAATCCCCAGCACGAGCCTCGACAGAACCATCCTCCGTGATGGTCGGTGAGTAAGTAACAGGAGGACTGTCAGTGGAGGGAAGTGGTGGGAGGGTAGGCGTCAGTCGAGAAGCAATGTCAGCAGGAGGGGGGGGGAAAGGAGGAACATAGGGGTAAGGTGAATCTGGAGGAGAGGGAAACACATGAGAAAGGACAACTCCTACTGCAAAGTCTGACGCATCGGTGGTGACGATAAAGGGACGATCAAAATCGGGAAGGCGAAGAACCGGCGCACAGGTCACCGCCTTCTTGAGGGCGCGAAAGACGTCCTCGCACAGGGGTGTCCAAAACCACGGCGGGTTCTTCCGGAGGAGGGTAGAGGTAAGGACGTAGGAATACCTAACGTATCCTTGGATAAAATTACTATAGTAGCTGGTGAGGCCTAGGAAGCCGCGAGGCTGCTTGGCAGATGTGGGAATGGGCCACTCTGCAATAGCAGTGATCTTCGTGTCGTCCATGTGGAGACCCTGGTCAGACACATGGTGTCCCAGGAAGTCCACTTTGCGCTGGGCAAAGCGGCACTTACTGAGCTTGGCATAGAAGCCATGCTTGCGTAAGCGCTGTAGGACATCGCGGAGGTGTCTGATATGGTCTTCTAAGGTACGACTGTAGACCAAGATGTCATCCAGGTATACGAGAACGTATTCCTCAAGGATGTCCGTGAAGATATCGTTCATCGCCGTCTGGAAGGTGGCGGGTGCATTGGTGAGGTCGAATGGCATCACCGTGAACTCGTAGTGGCCGAAGCGCGACCGAAAGGCTGCCTTCGGCTGGTCCTCTGCGGCAACGCGGATCTGGTGGTAACTGCTATGAAGATCGATCTTCGTGAAGAAGCGGTTGCCTGCCAGACGGTCAAACAACTCATCCGCACTGGGCATGGGATAGCTGTTCTTAACCGTGTAACGGTTAAGGCGGCGGTAGTCGATGCAGAGGCGGAGAGTTCCGTTCGCTTTGCGAGCAAAGAGGACAGGTGCACCCCAAGGGGAGTTACTGGGTTTAATGAAACCCAGTCGAAGGAGCTCCTCAAGCTGACGCTTGAGTTCCGTCGCCTCTGGAATCGAGAGTCGGTATGGTGCCTGATGGTGAACACGATAGTCAGACACGAGCTGGATGGAATGCTCGACACCGCGCATCGGGGGAATCCCGCTGTATGAGAAATACGGGGGAAAGACGTCGCGGTACTCTCGAATCAGGTCGCGAACGGCGGGCTCTAAGTCTGCCGTAAACCGTGTGAGTTCCTCAATGTTTGCGTCAGCACGAGACGTATATGTGGACTCGACAGTCGACAGCGCAGGGGCCTGAGACGTGGAGGAGGTATCCGCATGCTGACGAGTGGATGTAGAGATGGGAGCCGCGAAGATGGAAGGAGGGTCAGGGGGTTCGGGCTCCAGAGAGATGAGCTCAACCTCGGGACAGAGTGGATCGTAGCGAAGAAGATCCATAACGTTCACTGAGTAGAACGTGACATCCTCCTGTCGTATGAAGTGAGCAAACTGACGAGGGGAAGTGAACGCGATGTTGGGGTGGGACCCTGAAGGACGAGGGTCCTGGGGAGGTAGGTCGGGCGGGGTGTCGCCCGTGGTTCCAATTAACGGAACGCGATGGGTCTGACCACACTTCGTTTTGAGAGCGAGTGTCTCGGTTGCCCATTCGGCCTCTGTACCACGGAACCGGCGAGACGAGGGAGTGCCAAGGATAAAGTCGTACCCAGTCTCCAGCACGTCGAAGTATGCGGAGGAATGGTAGCGCCTAGGCGTCAGGGGACTATCCGATGGCTGGAGGGTGAGGGAGAAGTGGAGGTCGGGGACCGTCTGATCGAAGAAGCGCTGCGTCTTGTTATCTCCGAGGGTAACGGAGATAGGAGACCAAGACCCAGAGGTAGCTAGGCGAGCTTCCTCAACCACGCGAGGGTGAACGAAATCTCCCTGCGAGCCAGAGTCCCATAAAGCACGGTACACCCTCGTAGATGTCCCTAGGCGAATAGGGATGATGGGTAGGGTGCGATCAGGGTCAGAGAGCAAGGCGAGAAGACGACGCAGGACGTTGATGTGTCTYRTGAGGYGCTCCTGACGAGCCTGCAGAATGCTCAAGTCCAGGAGAGATGACACAACGTCATCGCGAGTCGCCAGTTGAGCGCTACAACGGGCTGTGCGAATGGCGCGACGTGTTGGAAGTCTCGGGGGAGAAGCGCTAGATGCGGCGGTCTGCTGGGAGGCAGACGGTACCTCGACAGACGATGGGGCGGAAAGAACTGCGTCTGTCGTGTCCTGAGGTTCCTCTGGTGGGGTAGCCAAAGGGGTAAACCGCGACTCGGTGGTCGGGAAGCCGGCTACGTGCGAGGCCTCAGGGGCACCGTGCATCGTGGCTAGGTGGATGGGGTTTGCCGGGCGGGGCCGGGGTGGGACTGAGATCGACGCTGACGAGAGATGTCAGCGTAGTGCCGATCGAGGGCGGTATGGTATGGACACCGTGAGGAGGTGTGTCCATCTAGGCGGCAACGAAGGCAGCCGCGCCGGGCCTCGAGGGCGGCACGCTCCTCAGGGGATAGAGCTCCGCGAGGAGGGACATAACCCTGCGGGAGGTCTATCTGAGGAACCGTGGGTGTGCGGGCGCCAGCCTGTGCAACCCGGCTACGAGGACGACCCATGGTAGACATGGCCATCAGCAAGCGCTCGGCCACCGGAACAGTGTCGTCATCCAAGTGATACTGGATGACGTCTCATAGCTCGATGTCCTCGGGGGCGTCCCCAAGGGTAGGGTCAAACTCGGCCGAGGCGTCCTCGCCGTACTCCAGAGAACTGTAGCGCCGAGAGAATGGCGCTCCAGGGTGGGCTGGTCGACGAAACCGGCCAGCGAAGGAGGATCGACCGCGAGTAGCACCACGGGACTGGGTGGCGGCAGCGGTGGATCGCGAAGAATATGGGGTGTCGGAGAAGCGATTCCGCATCTTCTGGTACTGTTGAGCAGCCTCGTAGGCTTGCTCGACGGAGGCGAAGCTCTGTCGCTAGAGCTCGATACAGTAGTCAGTCGGGAGACTGACTACGAACCTGTTGGTCAAAAGGGCCTCAGGTAGGAGTGCCTCATCGCAAATGAGGCGGGCGTCCTGGAACACTCTGATGTGACGCTCAAGATCGGAGGTTGTGGAGGACCCGCGCCACTGCATCTGGGTGACCCGGTCTAGGGTGTCGGTCGCATCGTGGAGGGTGCCGTAGCGGTCGTGGAGGAACGCAGTGAAATCCGCGAGAGTGGGCGCCTCACCTGCACGAGTACGATGGGTATAGTAGTTCTCCCAAGCGGAGAATGCACTGCCTCGCAATTTAGTTGCGAGGGCGGAACACCACAAGTGCTGACTAGTGTTAGTCAGTGTCAGCGCGCGTGTGGCAGCCTGTAACCAGTGCAACACACGCATCGTACCATCGTAGTCGGGTATGTCTGACAGACGCACAAGGGTGCGACTGCTGTGGTGGCGGCGAGGGGAGAGGGGCTGATGGGTCTGCATTACGGAGAAAAATGTCGGAGCTGGTGCAGAGGTAGAAGTGGGGGCTGGCGATGAGCCGGGGCTGTTGGTGGAAGGTCCAGCGGGCGTGGAGGTAACGGCCGCAGCCGACTGTGACGGAGTAGCAAGGTAGGAGGGTAGAGGGGGGGGAGCCGGTCGAGGGAAGCGAGCTAGCAAGACAGTGGTGGGAGGGACGGTGTAAGAAGAAGGAGGGTGCGCAACCTATGGAGGGTGAGGCTGTCTAAGGGAGAGAATCTCTGCCTGGAGCTGCGCCACTGTGGTTTGTAGGGTAGCCACTTGCTGGGTGCGCGGGGTCGGGGGTGGAGGAGGCGGAGGGAGTGCCCTAGCAGGGAGAGGAAGAACTCCGGGCCGAAGTACCGTAACTCGTGCAGGAAGCTGCGACGCAGCACCGGGGTGGGTAGATGAGACTGCCTGGCCCGATGTCGGTATCTGGGCGACAGCACATCCGGCGGTGGCCGAAGCGGCAGGGGCGACGGAGGCGGCGGCGACCGATGGGTGTACTGCCACAGACGGTGTGGTCTGGGCTGCAGCAACACTCACCACTGGGGCGGGGGAGTGCTGGGCCTGACCCGCAGATGAGGACGAACCGCCACGTCTCCGTCTCTGGCGTCGTGGAGAGCCAGACTCCGAGCTGGTAGGCGATGGGGTCTGAGAGCGGTGGGGGGACCGATGAGGGGAACCCTTGAGGCGGTGAACTTCAAGGGCGAGCGCATTAACTTGCGTCTCCAGGGGTGCAAGCGCATCGAGTCGAGCTTGCAGAGGTGCAAGGAGGGACGTAAGAACAACGCGAAGGTCCGTGGGGTCCACACCATGCTGACCCTGGACCATGGGGTGGGTGGGCGCCTGAGAGGTGGATGGCACCGCAACGATCTCCTTCACTGTAGCCATGTCCGTGGATGGAGGAGGAAGAGAGGTAGACATGGTGGGAGGTGGGGGGAGATATGGGTTGTGGTATGGGGACAGAGGACCATCGGTGAGAGGGAGAGGACCGCAGGAGCGGAGTGGGTAGTCGTGGGTCGGCTCGCCCCGTGACCAACGGGTCGCGCGTGAGATGGTAGCGCGAATCCGGTCTAGGGGAGAGGAGCCGTTCGGGTCCAGGGTGCCCGACGGGAGGAGGTGGGAGAGTAGGGGGGTTAGGAAAACCCTAAACCCTAGAGAAACCCTAACCGGAGTTTAGGTGGTTAGGGGAAGGTGACCGCGACCTAATCAAGAAAAGAAAATAATAAATATGGAGGGGAGGGGGAATAGAGTAAACAGTGGATTTTCAAAAATTTTCAAAGACTAAGTTTTGGAATTTTTCAAAAATTTTGGCAGCATTTCGTTACCCCCATGGGGTCGAAGTGTGCCGTCAAGAAAAAGACTAAGTAAAATAAGAAGATTTTGTCAGCACTTCGCTACCCCCAAGGGGTCGAGATGTGCTGAAAAAAGACTAAGTATGAAGAAAACGGAAAATTTCGGCAGCACTTCGTTACCCCCACGGGGTCAAAATATGTGTCGAAAGCAAAAAATGGCTAAGTCCTAATCAAATTTTAGGGTGCCGCAGAAAATTTCGAATTTTCATTAAAATAATAAAAAAAAAAAAATCAGAAAATAAGAAAAGAGGTAGGGAATAAGATGATTTAGATTTTTGGAGGAAAAGAAAATTTTACATCAAAAAGAAAGAGAAAAGAAGGAAAAAATAGAAAAATTCGGAGTTGGGTGTGGGGGGGGGATGAAAAAGTGATGAGGAAAGAGAGAAAGAAGTGAGAAGAGAAGAAAAAGGTAAGGCGGGGGATGGGGGAGATGATGAGATTGTAGTTGCGAGAGGGAAGGAGGAAAAGAGGGTGGTAGGATGGGAGAGAAGGATATGAAAAAGGTGGAGAGAAGTATGAGATTACTGAGAAATGGTGAGTGGGGAGGAGAGGAGAGAAAAAGGTTGTGGAAGATGGGTGGAGAGGGAGGTAGGGGTAGAGTGTAGTGGTAGGGGGGAAAAAATGATTAGATGATGGGGGGAAAAAGAGAAAAGAGGTTGGGGGAGAGTGKGTTAGTGGCAGGATGGTGATACCAGGCTCTTGGGTGGCCAAGAGCAAAGTTCTACCAAGATCCACAGGATCTTGGCCTTCAAGATGCTGCTGGTGTGATGCCACARCAGTAATGATGATGATGGAGGGTTGGCTGAGATCTTGATCAACCACCCTACTGCCACAGTCACACAGCCCCCTAGCCAGGGGGAAATCTTGATTTGTTGCCAAACTGCTGTTGCAACAGTGTAGAGATAGTGAAAAAGAAAAAATAATAATATATATATGTCTGAGGCGCAGCCCTCTAGCCAGGGGGGTCTTCAACAGGTATCCACGTGGCAGTGCAGATTGCCACGCCTGCAGGCACCAACAGCCACGGCGTGCACGGGGGGGGGGCAAATAGCTTCGCAGCACGCTGTTCGCTGCTCGCCGACGGGGGGGC